TACTCGGCATTGTTGTGTTGTACTCGGCATTGTCGTGTTCCACAACAATGCCGAGTTTGTTTATACTCAGCATTGTTGATGACGTAATTTATTGACGACAACAAGGAATCACAAATTTTTATAATAGATAGATATCAATCAAGACAAGCACAGTGCACAGAAAACAGTATGAAATACAAATGTACAATACCTTGGAAGCAGTCAGCAGCATTGTGGAGTGTTTCTTGAGCACAGCACGTGCAGCAGCCAAGTCATCTCTGAGCTGTGGGTCCTTCAGCTCCTGCTGTCTCTTGGCAGCCTGACTCATCAGCTCAGATGCATTGCGGCCAAAGGCTTTTATGTTATCAAGAAGCTCTGACTGGCTAGAAGCATTCTTCAGTTTCTCAAGGTCATCTTCAACCTGAGACAAGAGGTCAACAATAATTTAGCCCATGATTCTGCCCAATATTATGTACACTATTCCAACAGCAACCCTTAATGGTAATAATATTGAATGCACCCTACAGTCACACAACCACTCACTGCATTGTATTACCAAACTATAACTCTACTAATGCTTTATTCACAGCAGTATTAGGTAAATGAAACATTATTTCTTTGGCAACTGAGAAAAATCTTTTACCCGAACCAAAATCAATCCAAATAATGATAGCAGCACCTACAGCACCTTACAAGATAATTTAATATACAGGTACTTCAGAGAAATAGCTGTATATGTACAGCTGTAACATCTGAACAGAGGAAACAAAACTATGCTCCTTAAACACAAGGAATTTCTTGCCTGGCTAAGTACCTTTCAGTTTTTCAAGGAACAGTTATGAAGTTTTAAACCAAACAGTTATCCTTCAAACTGCAGACACACACTAATTGTTATAAACATGCAAATGATAAATATAAAACACGTGAGAAACAACTTGAATATATAATCTGATTCTTACCACTCTTAATGACTTCAGTAGAAGATGAACGTCCACCATGTCTGCTAATATAAGAAGCCGAGTAACGGCCGAGAGAAGATTGCGAGCTGCTCGAACCATGTTACCCCTTTTCAATGAAGAACATGGATCATCTGCAAATTCTCTTGCTGCCATGCTCATTGCTTCTCCTGAAATTACATGCAAAGAATCTGTTTCTGTTCAAAAATTACTTAAATATTCATGAGACAAAGACTTAGTATTAGAGTAATACTCTCTATTCTTGTCCTTTGGTTTGTACGACTGCAGGACTTTGGTTTTCAGAAATAAACATACATAACTTGGCAATAGTTGGACAGATTTTCACGAAATCTGAAACTGGGAAGACTTATGAAATCTGATGTACCTGTCTTCCGAACTTCTTCCACTGCTGACAGCATTTCCTGTTTGATGTCTGGATTTTCATATGCAATCAATTCACCCTTTTCAATGAAGTTTTCTGTTGCCTTTTCTACAGCTGCTACAAGAACATGAGCTCGTTTTGATCTGCCTTTCTTCTTTTTTGATGGACCTTTGGTGTTTACTAATGTTGTCACCTGAAAGAGATTTCAAGGAATTGCAAAAGCTTTAACTCTAATTCTTTGTGAAAAGTTAAATAATGGCTATAGAATACAATGTCAAAGTACTTCCAAACACTTGTAATTTAAGTTTGTTCAACCATATAAAAGAACTGACAAAAATCACTTATAACTTTCATCTTCATATTAATGAGATACCATTTTTCTTTAACTGTTTAAATTCTCATCTGGCCCATGTAACAGACTCACCTGTAATACTAATGGTTCTAGTGTCTTCTCCACTGACATGGTTCGGATCTCCAAGTTCTTAGGATCCCATTTTAGGGTAATGGGGCCAAAATGATCAGCCATAACTGAAACTTCCTAAAATTCTTCAGTATCCTTTCTGCAATAGATCAGTAAACAAGAAGTTCTGGAAATGACTTGTGGCATATACCTTTTGTAAAGGATTCAATGCACTTAATAAAGACTGAAAAGACTATAAATTAACAAGAAAATGGGTACCCTGTGAAGTATACAAACATTCCAGAGGTGTTTTTTACACTACATCTGATGGATTCAAAATCAAATTGTTTATACAACCACTGAAAGACAGTAGCAAGAATAATTCATATAATCACTGATATACAGCAGCAAGGGTAACCTGTCCCACTATACACCATGTAGATGCCAGGGGAGAGAGGTGGCATAGCTCCTACTCATTCTTAACCTCTGCACTAGATAGGGGTGAATGGTCAGTGTCACGCCCTGGCTGCACTTTACTCTTGGGAAAGGACCCCAGTACCCATTGGACAGGAAACTGGACGCAGAGGCTACAGGAAAGTTCCTCTGCCCTGTCAGGGATCAAATCCCAGTTGTCCAGTCTGTAGCCAGTTAATATACTGACTGAGAAACCTCGGCTCTTAGGAGCAAGGGTAATAATGTCACAAGTCTTGAAAAGTATAATGTTATGGTGGAGAATCATCCCCTGACTTCATGATTTTTAACATTCATCAATTTGGTAACATCAATTGTAAGAAATTAAAAAGTATGCATTTGGACTAGCCTTCAGTCGCATAGCCTCCATACAAAATTCCTGAAGATCTATTCAGCCATCTGTATGTTACTATATGGCAGAACATGTATTTTGCAAAACCACTGATAGATTGTAGCAAAATTTTACCTGAATGACATGATTGGCAGACAGAACAATCCCATACAGCATATAGAGCAGTTTGTAGACTAGGGAAGGAGGATTAATAAATCATGATAACAGAAGTTGCTGGAGAAGCAAACACACTATTGGGAAATGAGTTAGTCACAAGGCAAAACATGGCTGTCGTATGCTACTACATGCATTCCAAGTTGTCAGACACTCCATATATCCCCTCACATATTATCAACTAAAAATGATAAATTTAACTTTCCCAAAGCATAACCTTGACAGTTTGCCACATACTATACAAAAACTGAAACATAAAGCAATGGAACACTCCACAAATGCTAATAACCACTTACAAAACAAGTATTTTCCATTAGATCCTAGGTCTGTAAAATGGACATGTTATCAATCTTATGAAAATACATGAAGATGGAAACTTATCTCATTTTAAAATAGTACAAATTATGATACTTTCTGCAGATAAGACACACAGAATAAACAACTTCATACAACACCAACAAATGACACACACTGTTTCGTTTAACTCTTTTTTTTAGTACATATGCACACATTAAAACATCGCAGCTCCCCCTACTTACATTTGTAAAATTAATGTTCTTGCATCTTATAAGAAAGCACAAATGAGTTAGAAACACAGATTAAATACAATAATTCCTAACAAGGAAACATAACCCCAGCCCTACGACTTCTTACATACAAATCAACTCATCGATATACTAAATCAAGGCAGCCTCAAGAACACAACACTCACGTAGAAATATTTATTTCTGAAAACAAAATGCTTACATTTAGATAATCCGTAATCACAACCTCTTCCCTGCTGGGTGGGTCCGTGATTCACTTCGTACACATGATGACATCACTGCATGTTCAGCACATAGCCCTATTCCATGTAACACCAAGTTCAGAATGCTCTGACCACGGATCATATCGTGATAGTAGAAGGCACATTTAACCAGAGAAAACAAGCGTGCCAAAATAGAGGAAACATTTCGCACTGTGGATGACGTAATCTACATGCCAGCACATTTGAATTTTTTGACGTCATGCAAAATTTTACGATGCTAATTACAACACCCAGTCTAAGACATATACCCACTGTTGATAACTTAAAGCCTACATTTTCTTTTGTTATCCGCTGCCCTTAATATATTAGGCCATTATTGAAAACAAAATGTTCCAGAATAGCACAACCCAACCCCACCCCATCAAAAAATACCGTATGAGTAATTACTATTAAGCAACTGAAATTCTTTGCTCATTATGGAGGCCAGGAATAAACTAAATTACTGGTATTAATATAATCCCCCTTGACATACAATGGCAACTCATAATTTCAAGACATTTGCATCTTGTTGACTTTCTGACACTGGGATACTTACTCTTGTAATAAGGCACTGGTGTCCTTTTAGTTACTCCAATCCTTTACTTTTAATATCAGTCTGACAACAAAGTTATTAGTTTAGTTTCTTCTTTAGTAGTATTTTCAGATTCTTCCACTTTAATACGTATTCACAAGCATTTACGATGTCAGTGAAATTTCATTGTTATAAATACTTTTGCTGATAATCTGGTTCTTTTTTCTAACCTCCTACATTAATGGAATAGTAATGTCAAGTTAAAGACTGCATACTTTTAAGAAAAGATGTTGATGCTGAAGCTAGGCATTCTTCACTGTCCTCAGTATTTTACTTGAAGGTAACACAATGGATGAGTTCCTTCCCAGGACAAATGAACAAACATCTGTACTGAAAATATTTACCAATAGGATGGAATATTTTATTTCTTCACACAATGTATATGAAATGAGTGCATATACAGCTGACCCTCCTAAGACAAGAGCTTATGAGTATATTACAAAAAATCAGCCACAAATGACAGAAAAACCAACAGTAGAAAAAGCACAACAGTTTTATACAAAGTTTCATTTTATTCTTTTTATTAAAATTTACATTACTAAAACAACCACTATATATGTATTACACCCTGAAGATGGCAATTGTAATATTTGCTACAGCAATCGATAATTTTCAACATTCAATATGGCACATACTTGAGAGCCACAGTTGTACACATATTGCAATACTTGCGTAAAACATTTAGAAATAACACCCATTATTCATTTATAGTCTGGTACTGATTTTGTAATACATTTTGATTACAACACTGGTATTTAAAATTGGGCAATATGTTGTTTCAGGGATGATTTTATGGGTTGTTTACACTTATCTTCAGACTCAGCTGAGTAAGCCATACTCACAGAACTGGAAGAATCAATAAATAAAATTAGGATAACTGCAAAAGAGTTGCAAGTGATGGTGCAGCAAGTGTTACAGGTAGACACAGAATAGCCCAGCCAATTACTTCTCAGACCCACTAATGTGTCGCAACCTGCAGGTAGAAAGAACTGCTTTACATAACTTCATACATCAAAAGATGTACTACACCCATTGAAGGCATATGAATACTCTATACTATATTTACTTATGTAGCTTCAGAACACCCTTCAGACTGAATCACGTATTTCAAACATCACAGGTGTACGGACACCATCCACTATGTACACGCTGATGTAACGTCAGATTCCTCATCCGCCTGAATGATTTGTTACACATATCGCAGGAATATGGACGTTCTCCTCAGTGAATGCGATAATGTATCCTCAGATCACCACTCTGATAGAATGATTTTTTACACACATTACAGGCATATGGCCGGTGTCCACTACATATTTATCTTGGTGCAGATAAATTGTATAGGCAGAATGTGAGAGGTTCTGTTTTGGTCTCAGGTTTATACTTTTCAGATTATCCTTTTACTGAGACTCTAAGAACAACCAATATTTGTATTTTCTATTTATAACCTTTCAGGATTCTTATAACATATTTAATCACTATTTAGGCATACTGCGTGAAGATTTTAATTAGGAAACAAGCCCCTTCCAGTCTGTACAATAGGAATCTACTCCTCTCAAAAGTTCACATTGTGATAACCTGCAGAAAAGTAAAACTTACCTTCCTTCTTGCTTCTGAAAATTTTATGATACAGCATTATAAGTTGGATTCTTGAATGTTGTCACTGGTGGTATGTAGAGTGGACTTGCAGCCTTTAAATAAGTAAAAAATATTAACTAAACATTTTCTGTTATTTCATGCATCTACAAGAAGATATATAGTTACCAGGCAACAAACTCCAAGAACTGTTACAGAACCTAAAACCCATTTTGATACAGTTCCTCCAGCTCACTTCTTCACAACCCATCTCTCCAAGAATAATTTTAAATATTATCCCTTCAGCTATGCCATGACACCAAATACAAAAAATGCACACAAATAACTAGTCCAGCTAATATGTGATACTGAAAGAACAGTAAACAGTCACATCTGAGAGCAGACTGAATGGCAGAGCACTCTTACACACTTATCTGGATGTGTGTTTGTGTGAGAATATTCGGAACGGTGGACTGTGTAAGTTCTGTCTCTTCCATGCATTAGATATCAGAGAGGGACTTATCTGACATCAAACTGTGAACCCACTCATGGAACCTTATGAATAAAGCTGTCTTATTCTTCAATTCTCATGCAGAGTACTAAAGCTACATTTCCTGCTCTAACCAGCATCCATTGAGCAGGATAAGCAGTTTACTTCTATCTGTAAATAGCTTTCCACATAGTTCTAAATCAAAGTTTTTACTCAGAAGGGATCACTTGAATTATTTTCCTGCTAAGTGTCTTAAGATTCTATCTTCTGATGATTTATTGGGAAGTTATCATAGTTCTGTTGGGTTGTGCCTGTCTGATTGCTGAAAGAAAATTAATATTATATATACAGTGTATACACAAAAGAATGGTGTGGTTTCAAGAGTTAATAAAACAATTATTTCTCACCTTACACGGGCAAAACATACACTGTCAGTGGCGGCAACTGTCCAAGTTTCTCATACGCATATCTGACAATAGGGAAAATGTTTACAGGCCAGAAAGTATATGGTGAATATATGAATATGAGAAACATTTGTAACAATTTACGCAACAGACGTATGTTCTATGAAATATTGCATCCAAAATTAGTGCTATAATTAATATATTTGTAGTGGTATTGATTTGACAATGTAAATATATTTATACAGAATGTGTGTGTGTAAAAATTGATATGAATGCACTTACCACATCCCACTCTGCTTTCGCTTGCTCATTCTTAAACTTAATGAATTCAAGTTGGTCTTTTCTTACAGTAATATATTTCCAAATACAAAGCGCAATAATTCCAAGGGCAAGAATGAAAGCAATAATGGCCACGATTATAGCTGGAATAAACAGAAAAACATAATTATTTTCCTATTAATGTAAAAAGCCTGTTCATATTCAACAGTGAATGATTTACTTCTTATCCTTCATTTGACTCCCTCTTCCTTCATTTCCTTTACCCCTTTCATATCTTTACCATTTTCCTCCCACAAATGCCATTACAAAACAACAAAAGTGAGTAAATAAGCCATACTTTAGGATACATTATTTGAACATTTTCCTCAGGGTCCACTACACCTTAAATAGAATACGCAAGCATAAAAGC